CAGGAGGTGATGCAATCGCTTCTAACTCTGTACGCACTGCATCCTTCACACCAACTGCAAATATTTCTACATCTGCATCCCTCAGCTTTATTGCAGGTTCTTTAAAAGCATCTGACGATTTTCCATCAGTAATAAGAATCATGACTCTCGGCACATTTGGTCTTGATCCTTTGCTGGTAACAAACACTTTCTCCCTCACATATGTCATCGCTTTGCCTGTGTTGGTAGATCCACCTCTGTAGGGGAAGGTGTTAATAGCCTGAATTATGTCTTCCACTCTGTTGTATCTGTTCAAAGAAAACTCCATATGGGGATCTCTGCTGTACTGGACAAGACTTATCTGTACTTTTCGAGGCGATATCTCAAAGCTTTTAACTAACACTTCCAAAAAGGCTCTTACTTTAACAAAATTGGCGATACCAATGCTGTAGGAACCATCCACTAAAAACACAACATCAGCTTTTACATCCACACCACGTGAGCACTCTGTAAAGAAAAAGAATCACAACTGTGAGCAGATATTCAATAGCCACAGCATTACAATTGCATTAGCAGTTTGTGTATCATACTCAGTTGCTTATAAAGGAAATAAACCATTCTAAGTAAAGCTGCTTCTCATAAATAATAAAGGTATGATATTAAAACAAGCATCAGTGGTCTAAACAACAAAAATTTCCCATGTGAAAATAACATAGTAGCTCCTAACTCACCCACTTGAACTTTTACTTGTTGCGTTTTTTCCATTATCGTTATTGGCTCACTGGGGGTCAGTCCTTTCATTGCATAAACATTGATTTGGTATTCTGTGTCTGGAGAAAGATCTTTAACATTCAGGGCAGTAGTCTGAGGACCCACACTCAGTACATGTTGTTTTCCTCCAGCCATCATTGGAATGAACTGCAACCGGTAGCCAGTTATTTGGCTTGTGGATGGATCCCAAGTGATCCTAATAGATTTTGAGGAGATCTGAGTAGCCACCAGGTTTGAAGGAGGCTCCACCACTGAAAGAAATCAAAAGCAAAACCAAAATATAAATTAAAATATAAACAGAAATGCTGCCTTGCTTCAATATGGTCTCAAGCAGAAGTGAAAGCTACACCCACAGAAGCACAGTAGAGGGTGTGAACAAATGCAGACCTGAGCAGAGCACTATGACAGTGAAGTCATCTCTGCTGTCATTTTGGTCAAAGAATTACTTGTTACTTAGAATCTTACAAGGCCAGAAAGCTGCAATGATTCAGTTTGACATCTGTTTTCTCAGCATTCTCATTTTCATTCCTTGGTTCTTAACCTTTTACATATTCTGCCCCTTCACCAAGTTTTTCTTCCTTTAGTACTTTTTCCATAGAAGTGATGCCTGTGTCCAAATTTACTGTATAAGGCTCTGGCAACTGCACATTGTTGTGTTGCCCCTGAAACTATGGAATAATGGAACTATTCCAAATTTAAGGCATCACATGTTCTGTTCTCCTGCATTTAAATGCACAAACCTGAGACCTGTTTTCCACACTTGCTAAATGAAGCAACAGATCAAGCTCCAGAAATAAAGCAAAGGAAGTAGGGGTAGCCTTTTAAATATACATCAGAATAAACTGAAATCAGTAAATACATTTATATAAAGTATCTCACCTTCTTCTCCACTAACCAGTTCACCTAGTTGTTCATCCACGCCAGAGCACACTTGCAAGATAATTTCATTCTGTATATCCACAATTCCATCAAAATTAGCCACGTTGAACACATGCTTCAGTGAAGGCTGAGATGCAATTAGCTTGAGTTCCTTCGCATCTGCTGCTTTGATTCCTAGAAGTTGCAACAGACAGGACTGTGTTAAGTGGCCAAAAAACACAGACACTTGTGAATATATTCATAAAGTATCAGAACATCCTAGGGCAAAGCTGAGTTAATTCAGTTGTGTCTTCTGTCATTATCAATAATCAAACTACAAAATGTTGATTAAAGCAATGAGGTAACATACACCATTTTCAATCTGGGAAAATAATGTGGTATCTTCAATAATGCCCATGTTGAAACTATGCTTGTCAGTCATCTGCATCTCCATGTAGGAGCTACAGAATTACTACCAAATTAACACAACTGGAATCTGACGGGTACAAACAACCCGTTTCAAGGCATACACATAAAAGAGTGGCAGAGTGAAACTCTTGAAACACAAAATCTGTAAAACATGTAACTTACTTCTTTAAGAATGTCAGTCTCTCAATCACTAGAAAAACTCAACGTACCCAAAGAAAAAACTTCAACTCCTATGTTGCGAAGCTCTCTTGCAGGAATTTCTACTTCATCTTGAGCTTTTCCATCCGTAATGACAATTGCTACTTTGGGAAAGCCTTTTCTTGCTCCAGCAGACTCAGTGAAGGTGTTTTGAACCAGGTAATCAATAGCCTCACCTAAAAACAACACCACAAGTTGTGTTTTATTAGGCTTGAATGAACTAGAATTTAAAGCAAATTTGAATTATAAAATGAAATGCTGAATTCAGATGTAGAGGGGAAATCTGTACCTGTCATTGTGTTGCCACCTTTGTAAGGTATCCTTTTAATTGCATCGATAAGATCACGTCTTCTGAAATACTGATTTAAATTGAACTCTGTTCTTGTATCTGAACTGTACTGAACAACTCCAACTCTCGTCTTGTCTTCCCCAATGTCAAAGGCTGATACAAGGGCAACCATGAAGTCCAGAATATATCCAAAGTTATTTCTCCCTACGCTCCATGAACCATCTACCAGGAAAACTAAATCTGTCATTGCACTTATGGAGCATCCTGGAACACACAAAAAAAAAAATAAATCTCTGTTAGCAAATGAGCGATTGCATTGTTATGAATCAGTGAGAAATGTGACAGAAACTTATAGGTGAAAGCCAAAACAAACAGATATTTAATAGATTGATATTCTTATCTGGAATATCTTACTTGAGGAAGCATTATTCACATAAGTGAACACCCATATGACCATTCTAGCTGCAACTACCAAAGCGGGTCTGTCACCTAGATACTCAGTTTTGAGACACCTCTCATGCTATTTCACAAGATCTGTTATGCCACAGAAGAAGACAACTCACATACAAAACTTTTTGCAACAGTTTGACGTTACAGAAACATTTCATTTTGTTACCACTTCTGGTTTGCATCTTTATCTCCCCACAATAACTGCATACATTGGCTTTTGTCCACAGCACGATGTCTTCTGGTAATAGGACTAAGACTTCAAGGACTTGCTTGAGTTAGTTGCATGAAATTTCTAGCTTCAGTACCAACTTTGCACCTTATTCTGTCAATGTGGCTATAAATCCCTTCCATTCCAATCCCTTTCCAAGTTTTCTTGACAATGGACAATTTCACAAGTTAACTTTATTGCTAAGTAACACAAGAACACAGTGTTCTAGGCCTCGTTTATCTCTAAAATGTCAGAGAAGTTGAAAGACAGAACACCTTACTTTGTAATTGAGCCTCAACTTTCTTTTCGTCTGGTATGCCTGGACCACCCGTCTGAACTGCACAAAGCACAATACAGAGAGAATTAATGGAAGAAATCAGGTTACATTTGTAAATATCAAAGTGTGTAGAGAATTAGAGACACAAATCTGACAAGCCTCAGAACATGAAAACATAAGTGTAAGTTACGAATACCTCAGCTGTACTTACAGATTCGACAACATAGCATTCAGAGCAACATAAAATACAGAAAATGCAAATAATTAAGAATCCTCTGTATCCATACATCTTATACAGTAATTTCCTGAAAACTGACTGCAACATCCCCAGATGAAGTACCAGCATTACCCCTCTCTAACACATGGGGAAACTCATCATAAGTAATTATCCCATGGTTGTTTGGGAAGCTTGAGACATGCAGCAAAATATGTCACAGAAGACAGTCTGCTGTGCTTAACATTTTTATTTCATTAAATTTATTTCATGCTTTATTTAATGATTAAATATAAATTATAAACTTTTAAATTCCATATTCTATTATGCACACAGATATATTGTGTCACATTTTACTGTTTGGTGAAGGTAGTTGGGGTTTTTTCCCCACACATAAGAAGTCAGTCAGATTCATTTGTTACTGAGGTCAATGAGAGTATTTCCCTTGACTTCAGCAGATGCAGTTTATAGGAAGTAGGTTTAGTTCAAAGGAACCAGTAGCCTCCTGCAAAGAATTCTATGGGGGTTGTCAGACATGATATATCCATGCTAGTCTCCTCTTTCTTCTTCCAAATTATTTCTGCTTCTACCACAAATTACGCTTAATGGAAAATTTAGACAGCTACATCTGACCAACTCTGTTGATGAACTGGAACACAGGCAAGGTTTGTGAATGACCATTCGGTTGTCTGACTTGGTTTTCTAATTGTATTACAGGTACTTACTTGTCAGCTGGCCAAAAACAGGTAGACTCTCCTCTCGTTCATCATATGAAGCTATTGATACAACATACTCTATATCAGCTATAAGATCTGATAAGACAGTTTGGGTAGTGCTAGGTGAAAGAGTAAATTCTTTAGTAGGTCCATCTGCAATAAACAGATGAAACAGTTAATGCAGCCTTTAAATCCAGTAATATCAATTACTAGCTGATAATTTTAAAAAATGCAACAGAGAATAATCTATATAAATCCTATTATAATTTTAGAACAATACATTTTCTTTCCTCCTGAAGTAGGAATTTTGAAACATGAAACTTCAAGCTGAGGCATTCTCGATAGTCAACAAAATTACTGAGGTGTTTAATAAATTCCAGGAAATCTGAAACTTAAAATGCACATACAAAATGTACCATCATCCATTTCTTACACAATATCACTTTTACATTGATTATTTTTTCAAAATTAAATAGAATAATGGGTGTCTTACACAGCCATTATCAGGAAGTTAAAACATCACTGCGTCACTACCTGACACATACAATACTTCCTATGTGAGAAGCGCTTGAATCAAGTGCAATACAATTCCCTAACCTTACAGTAAAAGCATAGAAGAGGAGCAGAGGGATAATTCTACCTCCTTTTTGCTCCTTGCAAAGGAAAAGGATTCAAAACTTATTACTTGCAGTCTCCAAAGGGTAAAGAAAACTCTAACTGGGAACAATCTCTGCTCCTACCCAGTCTTGCTCACAGACTTCAGAAAGATGTTAAGAGTTGCTCTCATACCTATGTTAGATATAAGGGAAAAAATTCTACAGCACTCACCATTTGTTGGAACCACAGTTATCCTGTAACCCACTATTGGATCTGGTGGCCTTTTCCATGACATTTGAACATTACGTTCATCTATAATTGTAAAATTCAAGTCTGATGGTGGATTAACTGCAAAAGATTTATACCAGGTGGATGTTTAAAAGTGAACGAGCTTTGGCAAATGAATAAATAAAATAATGTTGAGCAAAGCTTACTAAGATTGTCTTTGCATAAATTTGTTTCCAACAAATATAAAGATATGTTGTTGGAAAAAAAAGAGTAAAATAAAAGCTGACAAAATATGACAAAACATCAAAGAGTATACGCATTACAGAGGACAGCACAGAACATATGTTTCTTGAGTTGCCAAGACATTCAAGAATGGCCAGCAAAATCAAGCACAATAGAAAACACATTTGGATACATGTACAATGAGTTCACAGATAATCACCACATATGCAAACATTTCACATAACAATTAAAGGAAATTTTTTTACATGCTGGGTGCAATCCGTACAAGCATGCCAAATCACAACCTGCTTACAATATCGTGAGATCATTTAGGACATTGAGAACACAGTACTCTTCTTAATTAGACATCAAAGAATTGATGAGCTTTTTAATCTAGTCTCTGCATAGTCGTATTTCTTATCAATTTCTCTAGATTTCGAAACTTGGCAGAGAAAAGAATATTTTAAAGAATACAGGAAAAGACTGGGCATTTAATGATCAGTAAAACAATTTCTGTTAGGGTCTAGATACGAATATACATGTAAAATGTATATCAGTAATAATGATACACTGATGTATCATTCTATTTCAAAACATGGAGATCTCCACCCCGCTGTTCTGAGAAGCCACCGAAGTGGCACACTTTGCACATGGCTGCAAAGCACTCAGGAACTAAGGGGATAATAAACGGGGTTAGCAATGGTTGCAATTTGCTGAAATATTTGAGCTGATGGGAAAGTTCACAAAAATAAGATTCTACCCGTTTACACCAGATTGCTGTACAATTTCAAAGGTGTAAACTAACGTTTTCATGTTCCCTTTGCAGCAGGTGTACCCATACTAGTAGTGGCATTTTAACATAAAATGCCAGTATGGTTCCAAACAACACAATGGTTAATTATGAAAAGACAACATCGAAGTATATTTGTGGACATTTATTTTACAGAATTTATAGAAAACAGCAAAGAGGGCACCAGTGATCTGAACAAATGATTGCAAATAAAACTTGTAGGAGCTGATGACAGAAGTAACTGAACAGTACAGAAAGAAACAGTTTACATACGCTATTTTGCAGCATCATGCATATGTAAATGAAATGTTGATTATTATTTTTTTCAGCTTCCCACGATGGACAAAAGCCTCCATGTACAAGGTTCATTACACAAAGACGTTTCATAAATATTTTATAATGATATTCTCCTTGTAAAATTGTCATGCATATTCATGCGGTATTTTACTGACTCACTGTCAGTGCATGGTAGGTGTATTACATATTATTGTTTAAATAGGTCCACAAAGTAAGATTAGATTCAGCCATACTTTCCTTAACTACTTGTAAGGCATTTTTAATAGACAGATCTTCTCAGTTGCACAGAAGATCTCCATCATATGTCAAACTCTGTTCAAGCTTTGAACATAATTTAAAGAGCAGATGAAGAAATAAATGCTAGAATGTATACTTAGGAAAAGACACCATCCAATTGCAATAAGTAATACTGAGCTCAAAAAAACCTGGCAACCAATCGGCATTTTTTTTGTCCTTTTCATTTACTGTAAAATCCATCCATAGGATAATATGGCTTTGTAATGCTGAATACAATAGATACACTAGTACTGAAGTAATTGTTATTTTTTCTGTTGTCCATACACAGGCAGTGAGATTAGACCATTAACCTGCATGCACAGTTTATTCACCATTCGGTTTATCAGTATCACAATGCTAGAGACAGCAGGGTAGTAACTTAGTATCAAAATCATGCAACACGTGTTAATAGTCAAATACATTTAGGTGATAAGAATATCATTATAAAATATTGTTTCAGTAGCAATGGCTCAGGACAAATTTAATGCAAAGGCAGAGACAACTGACCTGAGCATGCTTTTTAAAAAAAAAATTCAGTACATGGAAAAAAATAGCGCCACCAACCTTGCAAGTAAATTGGCATGTTGCAGCAGAGACTTTAGGCTTTAACTGCTGAAGGACAGCAGCAGCCCAACTTGTTGATATCCAAATGACCGGATTCCAGATAAACTGAAAAAACTGACTGTGAGGAAAAGTCTTTAACATTTTGAAGGATTTTAATCCGTTTTATGAAAATTCTGATGTGGATCTTGGCAGGTCACATGAAGTGTATATCATATATATAAGTGAAGTATCCGTTCATCCAGGTGTTTCACAGCCTTTTAGAACAGCAGCGTTGCAGGGGACCTCAGAAAGTCCCCTCGTCCATCCCACAGCCAAGACATGATGATTCCTGACAGGTTTGCTTGGATCATTCTTAAAGACCTCCACTGCTGGCAAGACTGCCAGCTTCTCAGAGAAATCACTCCAGTGTATCCCTCCCTTTATCATGGTAAAGTTATTCCCAACACCTAACCCCCGTCTTTGCTGCTGCACTTTAAATCCATTCATTCCCCACCTGTGGCTGACTTATCAGACTCAAGCACTGAATATTTCTCACACTGAAACCCAAACAGGAGCCTTGCTTGAGGGAAAGAAAGACAGTTTGGATCCAATGTCATCAAAATGTCTTCTGGATACCCTGTGAGCTTTTGATACTCAGACTGAACCTCCAAAACACCCATGGACCTTCACATGGGTCAGGTTTCACCCATGTGAGGCTGCTGGTGGGTGAAGACCAAATCATAGTCATAAGACTGAGAGCAGTAAGTCGATCTGAAGTACAGCAAAATGTTTAGATGCTAAAAACCTCATTGCAATTATCAAACAGGGCATCTGCTACCCCACCTTATTAAAATTATGCTTCCAGAAGGGAATTCACCAGTGGAAAAATAATACATCTGCAATGTGGAATCAGACCAGACTTCTAGGAATGAAATGCCCCTGGTTGTGGTGGGAGCTTGTCCCATTACAAGGACAAGCCTTGAAATTCCACTCTACAAAGGCTTTACTCAAGCACGTAGTCTTGATGTCAGGCTATTTGCGTACACGTATGCTTATGGTGTAATGACACCGCTGATCAGTGTGATCCTGTGTCCATCAAAATCCATGCCAAACCTCTCACTGGCTTGCCAAGGTACAGGATTGTGATTGTAATGTGATTAATAAAGCATTGCCTTAATGCAGTGATTCCACTGTCGATGCACAAAAACATATGGTTCCCCTACAGGTTTCCAGTGTAGTAAAAAGATATCTTGCTGTATGACAATAATGTTTGCACAGTGTTAATTTCCACCACTCTTAGAACTATGATATGGTAACTTCCTTGACTGGCTATCCTATCTTATGCACCACCGAAGAAATAACAAATCAGACATAATAAACTTAATTCATTGCCACTCCTTGTGTTACATACATGTACAGTAACAGCATATTTTCTGAAACAAAAAATACATTGCAAGGCACCTTTCTCATGCTACATATGAGCTTCTCAAGCCTATATTAGCCTGTATTAGTTAAGAAATACTTTACAAAATTCTACAGCTTTTTACAGATGACACAATGTCACTGCTAGAGGAACTCAGTAAATGTCTTAACAAGACAGAAATAAAACATAATCAGAAGATTAAGCCATCTAAATCTAGAACCTGACTTGAAAGTGATATAACTTGGAAACAACTGCCATCCCCAAATCCTATGCGAAACAAAATCTGTAATTTCATCACTGGAAAAGATTCACTACAATCAGCACGTGAAATAACATGTTAGCCCACGTTAAAACAACATACAGGCCAGCTGAAGAACAGCCCCAGCCTTGCTCTCACTGCGATAAGCCCTGCATAGGCTGGAAGAGGCCAAAACTCCTCAGTTACTATGTTCTTCACATATGGCATGGATTTGACCCAAGTAACTATATCACAACCCCAGCGAAGCTCACTGAAGTCAGTGTTGCCAATGTGAATGAGAAAGCACGAGCTGCAGCCCAGCAGTGTAGTAAAGGGCAGCTTCTCAGCCTTGTTAGATACTCACTGCCAATCACAACATAGAGATATTGCCACCTGTATCTCTGTATCTCTTTTATTTTATACAGGTATATGAAATTACTTCAAAATACAAGATAAGTTGCTCATAAGTGTATTTTGAAAATATATAGCTACATATCTATACATACAAAGATGTATGTAACCAAACATAATTGCATGTATATACACGCACCGCATGCATGAATATTTACCAGTTTTTGCGCGATTGTGCATATATATGTATGTGTGCATGTGTGTATATACAGACACTGACGTACACTTTCCTTCTAATTAGCGGTAGGAAAAACAGGGAGTCATAGTCACTTTCATGTATAAATAAATTTCAACTTCACACATCCATCTACGTGGTTTAGGAACTTGAACAAACAACAGCTAATTTCTCGAAAGATAGAAATCAGACATCAAAAAGTAATAAAATAATGGTCCTAACAACCAGTTCCAAAGCTGAATAGGTGGTTAACTTCAAAAGTTTCAGCTATCTTGGATCATGTCTAAACCATTCAGTCAATGAAAATCAATGTACTCAACACAAGCATTATTACATGAGAAACTTCCTACTGCTCTGTAACAGCTGCAATTATTTGCCACTTACTGTTTGTATGTCCTGAAGACAGATTTTTTTCACCTAACCAACATTTTTCTGCACTATAGAAAGGTGCCACACTTGGCTCAGTGACACCTTTCTTCCCTACCTCCAGCCTAGAAAACAAGACTTTTCTAGGTTTTGAAACAGTTCCTGAAACATTGAAAAGTCAGCACCTCCACATGCTCAGTGAGGGCACACAGAAACTCACACATTACCTTGAGATTATAACAAACAGGTTATTCGCATACAGATCTACTTGACTTAACTATGACTAAAATAATGGAAAAAAGTCTTATCTAGTGAAAGGACACAGATTTCCCCCTGGCTCCTTGGGATCACACGTGGAAAAAATACTGTGACAGAAAGAAATCTTGGCATGAGGACACACAGGGCGTGCACTGGAGAAAGGCAGGAAACAACTTAGAGCATAAAATAGAGCATCTCACACAAGAAGCTGAAGCTGAGAGAGAGACGTCAGGAGGATTGCAAAATAAAGCAAGTATTCGACTGTAAAAGAGCAAAAATGCTGAGCATGAAAACAGATTTACTCCCTTGCACAGGGTAAACAACTTCCCCAGTGAAATGCCACGAATGCATTTAGACTATATGTTGGTTTTCCCCTCTCTGCTGCTACAGCGATCCTCCAACTAGAAGCCCCTGCATTGCTGTGTCTCTGTAGAAAAGCTCTACCACCATCACTGCAGCACACTGCCTTGCCAACAGCAACAGAGCCCGGCTCTCACAAAAGGCTTGCAGAGCAGCTGTGATGCTGATGGAGAACCAGTTTCACAGTGGAAGATTTAGGACTCTATGAACAGCAGTACTGGATAAACACCAGATCTACTCCCTGGGGAGACTGAAAAATGAAAGCTGAAGGAAGGCAGAAAAATAGAAGTAAGCTTTTCCTTCCCTCTGCATCACCCTGTATCTGCAATCTTCACCACATCAAATGGCCCTCTCCCTTATTCTCCTCTCACTTTTTCATTCCACCAAGTGTCTACCCACACCTTGGGGAAAGAAAATTCAAACTGTATCTCTTGTGAACACCACAGGGAGAGCCAAAGGACAGAAGAAAAAAAGAGAGAGAGAGACTGGTGGGGGGAGAGCTTTGCCACAGTGTGATCTCAAAGTTGGAAAAACAGACTAAAGGACAAATGTCCACAGAAGAAAGTCAGTTCAGCAGACAGGATTTCAGTTGTAATGATACCAGAACTAAAGTAAATAAGATCCAACGCACCATTTACAAGGTGATGCAAAATTGAAGCACAAAATTAAAAGAGTGCAGAAGGATGACCAGTACAGTGCAAACAAAAAACACACTGCAAAAAGCTCTGTGAAAGCAGCTCCCACCAGAGCAAGTCCTAAGCTGTTCCTAGGTTTGAACTTCCATTTTCAGCACCACCATTTCTCACTGCATCTCCTACTCAAGACACTTTTCTCCACTTACTTCAAAACTCTGGAGCTAGGAGAAATTTCTAGTAGAAAACTGACCCCCATAAACTAGGTTATTTAAGACACATTTCTGAATGTAGAGTACTGTAAGTCCCATCCAGGAGCACTCTACAACTACCAAGATCAGGCTTTGTCCACTCTTTTGCTTAGCAAAGACACAGCCTTCAGCATGAGTTCTAAACAAGCTTGGCCAGCTTGTCTGGCAATGCATCCAGTTTCACTGTTATAAAACAACTGTGCTTCTCCAAATACATTTCTGTAGCTTTCATTAACTATTCTCAATCTATGACTGGTTTAGTCCACACTACAGCTAAATAAAACATCTTTGCTTACATTTTGAAATAACCTACTCCATACACGTACTCAGAGGTGCAGAACAACAGCAACATTACTCCGGCTCCGAGCGACCGAGCTCCTAAGACAGGGTAGAACGCACAAACACATCCACTCCCTCCATAAAAACTCTACACTTTCTCTGCTTTCTCTGGCATGGCGGTCCTGCATTTCAAATGCAACTCTGAAATGACTTCAAATGACCTTTTTCGGTTCCTCAGCCAACAACAACACAGTGCAAAAGGGAGGCAGCAGGCCGATTCTCTCCTAGGGTGACCAGATGTTCCACTACTGGCAGAAATGTCATCTTTTTCCAGAAAGCCAGTCTACTTTACATTTGCATGCCCCAAGCAAGCACTGCTGCTGGGAGGGCAAATGCCCCAGAGACATCTCTGACAACCCGTGCTTTTAGTAGCCATCAGCCAAGGTGTCCAGGTCCAGACACAGGAGTTTGCAGCAGCAGGCCATGAACAGAGAATTTGTTTCAGTTCAACACAGAAGGGAAAAAAATGAATTATCAGGCTCTGGCTTCTGGTTTTTTTCCAATAAATCCAGGGCAGTTCACACCCAGTGGTTTGGTTCACCCTACAATGGAGTCAGGTCCTGAAGGTCAGATCAAGTCATTTCAGCGCAGGACGTTCAGCATCTGTTTCCCCTGGCAGCCACTGCTGGCAGAAATATCGTTACCACAACCAAAGCCATGCAGCTCACACAAAAGGTGACAGCGGAGGCTGTCCCTGCACTTGCTGTTAATCCAATGGGGAGGCAAATGCAACAGGGCCAGGCCATTTTGAGTCATGCTGTGGTAAGTGTGGCAGCAGTGATGGGTGTCCCCAAGTTTTCATCCCTGCAGCTGGAGGCAGGACACTGCCATGGGGTGACAGGGACCTCAACCTCCAGCAAGACTGAGTTGGAGACCCAGGAGGAGAAGAGAAGAAGAAAGGCCTCTTTGGGAGCGATGGCACCACATGCATGCTAGAGACTTGGGGCCTCGGTTGTGACAGCAAGGCCTGGCCCTGGCCCAGCCACCCTTCAGCAGTGCCCAGGACGCAGGTAATGGCAGCAGCAACATCTCCCCAGCAGTGTCCCCCAGATCAGATCCACCACGGAGAACAAAGCATTCCCAAGGGAGGGTTTGGCCGCCCCAGGGCTCAGCCGGGGGTCGCCCCGCCGAGCAGGGGAGGCCAGAGTGCCGGCAGGCCGGCAGGATGGAGGCAATGGGTCTGGCCCGGACAAAACACACAGGCGCAGAGTCGAACTCTGTTGGAGCATTTTATTTCAAAGCTGTGGTTTGTTGGCTGGTGGGTTTTCCATTTCTTCTCTCAACATAACTAAAAGAGACTCTACAGCACAGAGCCCAGCCATTCTCGGTCAGTCAGCGAGGCAGCACACAGGGCCCGGCCATGCCAGGCTGGCGGCCGCAGTGGCCATGGGCTCCTCGGGACGCTGTGCCCAGGTGGCCACACCAGCCAGCCCGTGTCCTGGCTGCAGGGTGGTGTGGACAGCACACCAGAGGGACAGAGAGAGGGAGCTATGGTCCGGCTGTCTAGCCGGGAGAAACAGAGCACAGAAGGAGCTGGACAAGGAAGGAGAGGCGTTTCTCTGAAGGAGAGAAAGAGAGAAGGTGAAGTAGTTACACTCATTTTTTTTAAAGAGCTGGTAGCTCAAGGCTGGCTGGGAGGTTTGCTGGTCAGCAGGGCACCAGGGGCAAGGGAGCAGGGAGGGGAAGGTTACCTTCAGCCTCGATGGAGGAGAGGAAGGCGGCTGCACACAGAGCAGCGACTGCCGAGCACAGCGCTGTCTTCATTTCTGCCCTTTCAGATCACAACAACATGAATGAATCTGCAGTGATGAGGGTGGGGGGGAAATGGGGGGAGAAAGGAGAAGGAAACGATACGCGTGGATTAGAGGGTTGCGTGGGTGTATTCATGAAACATAAAAAAGATGAACCGTGGATTTCACTTTGTTCCCTTATCCTCCAGCCCCCACCCACAGGACCAGGTTGAAACCTCTAGACTTGAAAGCCGTCCAAGACGATGACAGATCTGCATGACTAACGGGAGAGTCTCGTCTCGCAATAATGTGCCTTTTGTTGCTGAACCCTTTCCAATCATGGTAAGCACTCATGGCTTTAACCTAGTTGGGGTTAATTCGATCAGGGAAGCGTGGTGAAGATCTGTGCCTCCGCACAGGCAGCAGCCAGGAGGGAGCTCCATGACTTCATCGCCAAGTGTGATGATAGCTAATTCAGAGGTCATTCCTGCCTTGGATCAACTAAATGTCTCTTTCAGCTGGGGATTTTATTCGGCTCCTTTTTCATAACTGTTGAAGCACTTAGTTAGCTGTGTTTTAGTGGTCTCAAGGCAGTTTGGAAACTGTAATAAAACTTCTTTTTTCTGAGGGGTTCTGCCTACGAATGTGCTATTCTTCATTTCTTGAAGGTCTGAAATAGATTATACAGAAGTGTGTGTAACACACAACTGAAACCTGACACGTCTGTCTAGCCATGATGTTTCAACATCTGATAATTCATTTACACGTCCTCAGAGAAAACAGATTTAAAATACTCTATAAAAAGCAGGCAGGCAAAAGAGTCTCGCTATCACTGCAGGTTGTCTAGCAAAATAGGTGGGATTAGGCCAAGTTAGTGGTTCCTAATTGCAAGCAGCTATAGCTTTGTAACTGTGTGCTCTAGGTCACATCAAATTACTCCAAATTACTCCAGCAAAACTTCCCAACTATTTCTTTGTCTAAGTAAAGGCTAATGTGAACAGTCCTCATTGTATATGCATATGAGTGTTTCTAAAGCTTGAGTTTTTCTAGCTCAACAAGCAGGGGAGGGATAATTTGTTTGAATAAAGTCATAAATGCATCATATATCATAATTAGGCTGGAGGAAAGAGAATTCCAAAAGCAATTAGGCAACAGATTTTATCGGGAAGGTGCCAAGAGCAAAACAAAAGAAAAATACATAAATCATTAGTCTGCAGAAACAGCTGAAGGGGGAAATATTCTTCTGCCATCTAGAGAAATGACCAGGAAGGCACATTTAGTGGATAGATGCAACGGAGATCCAGGAATTTCTCAGTTAGCAACACTGAACTTAACAGGCTTCTGCCCGGCAGCTGTGTATACTTGCCTTAGCCAAATGCCTTTACTGCACATAAAAATACCAAGAGCTCGAAGGAAAACTAAGCAATGGTTTTAGTCCAATGGTACCTCCAGTGGATAAACAGAAGAGTAACACTAACCATAATGACTCCGACACTTAAGAAAGACCAAAGTTAGCAATAAATTGTCCTGAAAGCTCCAAAATCATATCACTGCTCTGCGTGGGAAACAGCTGTCCCTGAGCACATCTACCACTACGTTCTGCAGCGAGCTTAAAGATCGCCTAAACTCAATGTAAAGGGACTTTTGTCCCAGAAATCTCGTGCAGGCTTGGAGTGCCATCTTTTGATCCTTTTCAAGAGCAACAGAAACTCATCATCTCACAAAGCCATCTAGGAGTTCATTACTGCTACAGGTCTACCATTCCTGATACACATTTTTTCTTTCATGAAATAAAACCCCTCAGCCAAAGCACTCATTTGCCAACCAACGAACACCTTATTTTCCTCTTGCAAACTCAGGTGTGCAAAAGAAAGCCTGGAAGTGGAAAAGGAAAGGTCCTCTTGCTGGCTCAGCAGGGACAGGACCGCACTTTGTGTCAGGACTAAAGGTTTTCTCGCTGATCTTTAGAAACCACTTTAAAAAAGACAGGCATTCACCAGTGCCAGTCCAATCTCATGCTAATTCAACCTACAAAAGCTGAGCCAAAGCATTTCAAAACCACGCAGTGCAGGACATTTACGACTTTCAAGAAGTAAAATAACCTAAACGAGAAACATAAGAAAAAACCCACAGGGAAAACCCACTACCTATCAAAGGCATTAAAAAAAACCCCTGGAAACAGGAGAAAGCATCCCCGGCAGCTGCACACCCAGGAGAGGGAAGCCAGAGCCCCTCCAAAGTCGCGGGCGCGCTGGGTGCTAGCACTGCGCTCCGTCTGCAGCCCGGGAGCCACCGCCGCCTCCTCCGGCAGCGCTCGGGGCCGGCAGCCCGCCGGGGTCCCCTGTGGGAGGACAAGCCCTCGGGGCGCCCTGCTCTGCGCCTCTCCTCCACCCTTTGGGCATCTCACGCCCGCAAGCCGGCTGCAACATGCACAACGCGCACACACATGCCCTCGCCCCCTTCCCACGCCAGCCTTCAGCCCAGCGCTGCTCATCGCATCCTAAAAGTGCATCAGAAGGGGCTGCATGGCGTGAGGGGCGCGTTAGGGACAGGCAGCGGGGGTCGGCTGAGGGGAAGGAGGGAAGGACGAACGGAGGGACGGCAAGGGATCCCCGCTCCTGCGCGGGCACAGACCTTCAGGAGCGGCTGCAGGGTGCCGAGGTCGGTGACAGGGCAGCTCCTCCGGCGCACCCGTCGGACCTGGATAAAGGGAGGACGAGAAAGGATGAAGCTCCGGGGGCACCTTGTGGAGTAGCGGCGGCGAGGGGGGAGCAGAAGCAGCGGCAAGAGCCGAGCGCAGAGGAGGCGCCTTGATGACTGTAGCTCCCGATGCGAGGGGTCCGTCTGGGAAGACTTGCCTTCTCCAAGTGGGAAGAGCCTCTTCTCAATCTGCTACTTAATAGAGGGCTGTTCCCAACTCTCAATT